CCAGGTCAAGGTGAACCTGAGAACAAAAATAGTTAAGAGGTGATTCCACGCTCTTGAAAATTTCCAATCGCCCGATCAGATGCCTTGCTGCCGGATATAGTTTATCGTTATACCGAGGACTCCAGGGAATAGATGACAAAGCATAGACAAAAATGGATAGAAAAGAGCCAAACAAGTGACAGAAACTTGTGGGGACAAAGCACGGATGTAGTTTATCGTCATACCCAGGACGATTGAGAAGGACGATTATTTTCAAGGTAATACAGAGAAGCCATGTGGTATATTGCCCCTTCAATACAGAGAAGCCATGTGGTATATTGCCCCTTTCAGGGAAGGACAAGAGAAATAGAAAAAAAAACCCTTCTAAAAGGCGAAACCCTTTCAAAAGATTGAAACGATTGTTGAAAGCCTTCCATAACGTTCTTCCCATCCAAAGAATGGACTTTCTTGTTGAACTATTTCTAGAATGTGAATTGATGTCAATGGATTTAAGTACTCGCCCAAGGTCGTCTAAAAGATTCATCTCTTACAAAGGCATCTGAGAAGAAGGGTTCCTTTCAATGTATTTAAGCGCTTATTGAAATACTTTCAAAACGAAGATTCCTTTCCAAAGAATGAGATGCTTATTGCAGGCCTTCCAAAACGAAGATTCCTTTCCAAAGAATGAGATCTTTATTGAAAACCTTCCAAAACGAAGATTCCTTTCCAATGTTTCAAAAGCTTATTGAAGACGTTACGGAACTTGGAATTCTTTCAATGGATTTAAATGATTGCTGAATGTTTTCGAGAACTTGGATTTCTTTCACTGGGTTTATGTGTTTGTTGAAGAACTTCCAGAACGTTCTTCTCTTTCAACGGATAGAAGCGCTTGCTGAAGTCTTTCAAAGAATTTATGTGTATCTCATTCGATTAGATTAGATTATCAATTCTATTTGAATCCTCGGTACCAATCTTTTTCTGGTCGTCGCTCCTTGAATGGTGTACAATACTCGTTGAATGGTTTATTAAATAACTGACTATTTTTATTCAAATTTCTCAAAGTGATTTTCTTTTAGCACTAAACGATTCAGTTTATGTTTTAGGCATTATTTTCAACTGACATATGGAGAAAGAATTCAGTTCATTATAAATCGTGTCTGCTTTTTTGCAAGATAAAAATATTTCCACTAAAAATAGAAAATGATAATACAAATAAAAAATACCAAAATGACAAAATTCAGTATCTTTTGATTCAGCAATAATTTGCATATTTCGAAATCTTCCTCGTTTTGATGTTGCCTGTTCATAACATGTGTATATATAAAATAGTATATATAAAATAGTATAAAGGAAAAAAAGAATGGGACAGAGAGTTAGAAAAAAAAAGTGAGGTGGCAGGTTAAGGAATGAGAGAAAGAGAGAAGAGTAGAGCGGAGAGAAGAGAGAGAAAGCGAAAAGAATAGAGAGGAGAAAGAGAGAAAGGAGAGAGTGCAATGAGAGAAGAAAGAGAGGTAAGAGAAGAATGCGATAGAGAGAGAAGAGAGGAAGAGAGAGAGAGAACAGAGTGAGATGGTAAGGAAGAGAGAAAGAAGAAAAGCGAGAGAGGGAAAGGAGGAGGAAGAATAAGATGGAGAGAAGAGAGTGCAAAGAGATAGTGGAGCGTAAAGAGAGAGAGAGAGAGAGACAGACAGAGAGAGAGAGAGGGCAGAGAAAAGAGAAGGCAGACAGAGAGTACCAAGAAAGAGGAATTAAAAGAATGAGATAAGGAGAGGAAAATGAAATAGAGGATATATATATATATATATATATATATATATATATATATATATATATAGAGAGAGAGAGAGAGAGAGAGAGAGAAGCAAAAGAAATAAAAAAAGAAAAAGAACGGATGAGAAAAAGAAACATGAAAGTGAGAAAAAGTATAACTTAAAGTAAAGGTCAATGCTGAAAAGACCGTCGTATCATACACCTGTAAAAGAAAACCTCTGATTTTATTAGAGTAAATGCCTATTGGCAACATGTATATTTTTGAAAATGCTAGTTCCAAGAGCATTAGAACTCACTAACATATGTATGCCATTCATTCGAGTAATTCTTTGCATTTGTTAAACTCTATGACTGTTCTAAAATCTATTAGCAGATAAAAAAGAGAAAAAGGAATCTATTTAATCGCAAGTATTGTCCTTGTCATGCGACATAGAAGATTAATGGAGCCTTCGTTCATTCGGTTACCATAGACGCATATTAATGCAAACTTTCTCTCACAGGCAGAATGTGTCAAGCCTCTGACTGCTCTGTCGCTACTTCCAAGGAAAGTGCTCGGATGAACTACATTCTTTGGTTCCGCTAAGTTTAAACTTCACGGTTAGAACCCGCCATATCACATACATTGTAGCAAAGAACCAACATGTTATAGGTCAATACAGAGAAGCCATGTGGTATATTGCCCCTTTCAGGGAAGGACAAGAGAAATAGAAAATACGCCTCCACCTCATAACTTGTTCCGGCCCTAGTCAGAAAATCTTCGGGATGAGTTGACTAACATACAGTGAGGCGCAGATAAAACCAGAAAAATTAATGCATAATATCGCTTTTTTTTAAAATAATAAATTAATATATTTCAATAAAACTTTATATGCAGTTAATGTTGTAGCATACCTACGGACGGTAATGGGTATATCCCCATTCACATGAATACAGTAGTAAATACTATGTTGGTCTGGAATTGGAGATTCATTGTGGAATTCACTTGACTCCTAGTAGTTGACAACCTCTTCTACGCAACGCTGGCGAATCTCATATGTGTTGCTCTTGTCCTAAGTATTATCGTTCATTACCAACCTTCGATTGGTTATTCTATTCAGTAACGTTCCCTAGGTTACAACATTTAGGCACATATATAAGGTACAAAAATCACTTGATGTGGCTACCATCGGTAGCCATCATTTTCCCCAGGCGGGGTCGGAAGCTGAAGCATATTTTGGCGACGTCACCCCTGTCTATGTTGGCCATGGTTTTCCTGATAACTGCCTTGAGAGACTCCTTTTTGTTGTAGGGCCTGCTGTTCATCACCCTCTCCAAGACGCCCCAGACAAAATAATCGAGAGGATTGCAGTCTGGCGATGGGTGACCAGTGGTACGGTGACCAGTGGTACGCTGATCAAATAGCGACTCTTGAGCTCATAAGATTTATAATTCAAGTCCTTCTTGACAATAAGCCAGATTGTTTACCTACTGGTGCCCGTTTTCTTGGTGATTTTCTTCATGCTTTTTCTGGGGTTCTCCTTGAAAACGTCGGCGACCAACTCAGGCGTCCTGGTGGCGCCAGAGTGATTCTTATGAGTTTTGCACCTTGGCCTCAAATTGTCCTTTGCAAGATCGTAGACCATAGTTTTAGGATATTTGAACCATTCAATGATTTCCTTGGCTTTGTGGTGGGCGCGAACGCTCTCCACAACAGCAGCTCGGTGGTCGTATTTTGAAGACATGTCGATTACTAAATACATTGTGTGTCAGTGGCCAGACACACTGAGGTATGGTACTTTTTCATCTAGCTCTCTAAACCTCGTTACATTATGGCATCACGTAAAAATTCCGGATTGATCTGCTCCACACTGTATGTTTTGAAAATACGCGGAAAACATTAATTATTTAATTCTAATTAACTCTTGATTGGCTTAAAGGTAATGGCATATTTTCAGAAATCTGGATTTAAAGTATTATCGTTATTCAATAATTTCACCTTGCAATTTTCGACTGGTCAACTTTCCAGTCATCTTAAGATGTATATTGCGTTCGGCAGTCTGTTTACATGTACTACCTCTTCTTCCTTCAACCCCCTTCGATACTCACAATGTCTGTCAGTGTTAATCTGCTGTAGAACCACGTCTCTTTTATATCTGTGAGGGGATTATCCAGCGTATAGGTTAAGTAGATATTATATTATAGCATTTTAGTATTCTTTTATTTATTTCTAAGGAAAATTTCATATCCCCCAATACTTTGCTTAGTTTTTGAAAGGCATAATTCACAATTCTAATGAATTTTTGGATTTCTGTATGAAACATTCTGTCGTCTCTCACAACAATACCCAAATTTTTAGTTACAACGTGGGCTGTTACTGCTGTTGATAACAATGTATTTTATTTTCTTACAGTTAATAGATAGTCCTTTCTTACTGCTTTCCTTTCCTGCCTTGCCTCATATTTCTTTCAGTTTTATTTCTGAGGCTTCAGCGTCATATTCGCATTCTAATCTATCAAAATGATGTCTGTAAAGATGATGTCTTTCAGTAATACATCCTAGTAAACATTACTGAATTTCTTGGATGAGAAGTTATCATTATTTACAAACTGAATATTGTCCTCATACTTGTTATTATCACAACGTTTCGGCCATTGTGATATCCAGACTTCATCAGGCTAACTTTCAAAGATTTTTAACTGAAAACTTTATTCAATTTTTATTTACTTAATTTAATTTATTTATTAGTTGTTCTCATTCCGCTGAAAAGGCTTATCTAATGCTGTTGCTGCTGCTGGAAAACCTTGCTGTCAGATCTCTTTCTTTCTAGTACTCGTTCTCATTCTCTTTATATATATCTTACTCCTATTTCTATTACTGCGTATTCATTGAACTCATTCTTCATCCGCGGACAGCTTGTTTATTTCCAGACAACAGAGGCAGTAAAATAAGCTAGAATATTGAGGTTAATGCTGGAACCTTCAGGGAGTTTGATGTGAATAGATTTCCAATGTAAGCCACCAGATGTTAGTTGTGCGAAATCTCAATGGGATGTTTAAATGATGTTTAGAATCTTCGACATGTTCACAAGCAACAACGTTCCAACGTTATCAGCTAATTACTTTTGCGTAAGTTAAAATGCGGATGTATTTACTGTATAATATTCTTTATTTAATTTGCTATATTGGGGGGGGGATCAATAGAAACCAACACTGGATGATGACTATTGTTATTTACACCCCTTAACATGTCATCAGACGGTTTTGTTGATTTCTATGCCCACAATATTTCTTTCTTTTTTCCTTTCTTTCTTTCTTTCTTTCTTTCTTTCTTTCTTTCTTTCTTTCTTTCTTTCTTTCTTTCTATTTATCTCAGTCGCTTCGTGTCTATCTATCGCTCTATCAGTCTGTATCTATCTTTTTTGTAACCTGTTTCACCCCATTTAAGGAAGTAAAGCCACTAAAATACAAGGGTCTTACTGGGCGTTGAAAAATTAGGAACAGAAATATTACTAATAAGCCGGAAGAGAAAATAGTAATCCGGATGACAGTAGATATCGATTTACATGGCATTTAAATTTTGTAGGCTGGAACGCATGGATCCAAAGGGAGTTCCATAAATGAAAAAAGAAATGTTAGCGTATAATTTAAATGTAAACAGATGAGACCTCAACGAGAGTCCAGTACTAAGCTTAAATTTAAAAAAAAAATAGGTATCATAGTGAAGAGTTCTTCCGAACAATTACCATGAAAGTATTTATAGAAAAAACACAGAGAGGCGACCTTTCGGCGGTGGGATAGCCGTGTCGCCAGATCAGGACTGATAATATTGCTGATTCTTCTTTGGATTTTTTCAAGGAGTTCAATGGAAATAGTAGGGGTACCGAGCAATATATGTCAGCAATATTTTAAGCATGAACGAATGATAAACATAGATATGTATGATACAGTCTCGAAAGAAAATTGTCTCGCACGAGTCACTGAACCTACCTTCTTAGCAGCTGACCTATCAATTGATTCAATATAGACTTTCGACTTCATATCAGCTGAGAGCGTTAGACCGAGAAGGCGCAACGAGTCAATTTTCTGGAGGTTAGCATCAGCCATACTGATGGAAAGCAGAGAGAGGTTTCTCAGATGATTAATGGAGAGAAGATTAGTTTTGGAGGTGCTGAAATTAAAAAGCCATCTTTTGCTCTATTTAACAGGAGACCTGAGGTCGTTTTCGACATTTGCTGCCATTTTGAACTTGTCGGACTGATCAGCCTTACTATGGCGGCAGTAGTAAATAGGTATGTCATCAGCGGAGATACAAAGTTGAGAGCTGATTTTATCTAGAAGGATATTAATGAAAATTAAAAACGAATTAGGAACGAGGATCGAGCCCTGGGGACACCCGCGTTAGTACAAAAGAATCTAGACCAGTGGCCGTTCAGTATAACTTTCATTTTATGATTTGATAATAACAACTGGATCAATTCAAAAAATGTGTCCGGAGACACCGTAACTTTTTAACTTGTGGAGTAGAGCTGTATACCAAACCTTGTCAAAGGCTTTCGAGATGCCCAATGCTACAGCCCGAGCTTCACCGTTTTTATCTAGAGCATGATAGTCTCTTTCTGTCATTACCGTCAGTACATCAGCAGTTGACTTGGAGAAACAAAAGCCATATTGCTTGTCTGAAAAAATGGTCCTGCGATGAGATATGATGAACCAATTTGGAATTGATTAGGAAATCTAGGAGTTTCCCCAAAAAGCGGTAGAAGACTATTAGGCCGAAAGATGGATGGATCAGCCGGTTCGTCAGAAGTCTTAATAACAGGAATAACAGATGATGACTTCCAGCAGGCAGGAAAGCAGGATATATCGAGGCATTTATTGTACAGTTTAGAAAGAACAGGAACCAATTTGGGACCTCATTTCTTAATAACTATTACAGGGATGCCATCGGGTCCACATGCTTTTTTGGTGACCTAGGCTAGAAATGATAGCAGAAACCATGGATAAGGTTATGTGCATATCACTCAACACAGATTCAGTTCTAAGTGGGAAGTTAGGCAGGGATGCTCCAGATGAGTCAAGAGTAGAGTTTAAGGAGAATGTACGAGTAAAGCATTCAACTTTATCAGAAAATGATATTAACACTTCAAATTGATTGAAGTGGTGAGGAATAGAGACCCTACACTTATTTAATACCCTATTACAGAAACGCCTGTAATCACGAGAGCCAAAGATTTAGATGCAAGGCCGTGCCTCATTTTCTCGGCAAACGGTGGTTTAGCTACTCAGAGGACTCGTTTACATTTATTACGAGCAGTTACAAATAGGCGCCTGTTGCGACCGGAGGTGTCACACTGGTATAGCCGGAAATAGTGTTTCCTTTGTGCTAGCATGGCGAGCATGCTGGTGTGATCGAAGTTTCACCTGGTATTTCCGAGAAAGGATGAAAGCGTCCATGCCGGCTTTTATTCATTAAGAAACCTTAGTGGGGCAATTCTTAACTGGAAGGTTAAAGATGTCACTTCAACAGGTGTCACTAAGAAAATCACGAAGTGAGTCCGAAACAGAATGCTGATAACGGACAGAGGTTTTATACATATGAGGGTTCCTGTTTAATAGATGACTAGAGTGAAATATCACTAGATACCACAGAGTAGTCTGAGTTTCCAAGAGAGCAGTGTTCGAAGCTCGGCAAGAGCGAGGAGAGGAGGTAAGAAATAAATCAAGGAGAAAAGCCTGTTCGGTATTGCTAGGGAAACGCGTAGGGAATTCTACAATTTGAGTAAGGGATTGGGCAATGGGAAATCTTAATGTCTGAACACCAGCAACATCAGTCCCTTTAGAATGTTTAAGCCACGTGACGTGGTGAGCATTGAAATCACCGATGACAAAGGTGTTAGCAGATGTTCGACAAACTACCTTTTCTATACTTTCAATAATTATATCTAATATAGTACAATCCTGGGAAGAGGTGGAGATAAAGGAAAGAGAAATAGCTAACAGTTTAGTAACGAAAGGTTGAAACACATGAAAGTTGTCTGGGACCTCGAGAGACAATTCCCTGGCCATCGGAAGATTATCCCGGATGCAAACACCAAGTGAATGCTGGAATCCTTTCAGCAAAGAATAAGATAGCCTGGAACGAAGAATTCATTGCTAGCAACTGAAGAATTTAAATTGGTTTCACAAAGGGCAAAGGTATCTGGCGACCGTTGCAGGAGGAAAGATCCTACGCTGATGAACAGATACCACAAATAATAGACAAAAAAACGTAGAGTGAAGTGGTTGTGATTTTTGTTTACTGATTTAATTTTATTTATTTTTGTTGTGTTTTTCATGCAACTTGTGTTGAGCAAAAAGAGAAAAGCCCACGATAATTATCACACTGTGTCTTCCATGATAATAAAAACTAGCCAGGGAGTGGCTAAGAGCAGAGCATAGTGTGACCTCAGGGTTGCTCATTGGAAATACATGCAGGGACACCTACCCATGCACAGCATAGCACTACAAATACCCAGATATTATGCGACGATTGATCAGAGCAGCCGCTCTAAGCGCTACCAAAACTTCGGGCTCCTAACGACCAATTGGAGGCAAAAGCCAGCAAACTGTCAACCCAGTACACTCATAAGAGAAAGACACGGCCCCCTAGTCAGTCTGATCACCAAAAAGTTAAATCTTTATAGCCCTGGTAGAAGAAAGAAAGAAAAAAAAACAGGTAAACCATATTCTGAACAGGGAACAAGACATGAACTTCTGCTTCTGGTCTATAGTCGCGGAAATAGTGATGATCGGACGCTATACTCCAATTAACCCGTTAAAAAAAATTCATAGCATATAAAATATTCATAATAAGTTATAACTTAGTATAAGATGTAATGTCTATTACCAACTAAAAAAAGGGGGAGGGGCTGAAGTAAAAACTTTAAGAATTAATAGCAATGAACGAAAGAAAATAAAAGAAAAATAAAGAAGGAAGGAGAAATAAAAAAAAAACATCTAAAACAAAACAAAACTACAAAAGAATTTACAAACAGCAAAATGGCACAAGACATTGTAATTTACCTTAATAAAAAACGACAAAAAAACAAAAACAAAAAAAAACAACGGTTCAATTGCATTTTCCTATATTTAAAATTGACATTTTTACGGACAGATTGAGTTAATTTCAATTTCAAATGACGGCGACTCTGAAATGAATTTTGATTTCAAATGCCGAAAGTATATAACTATCTCTCACTTGGGGATGGATGCTGAAGGTACGAGGCTGGTGAAGGATTTCTTACTTTGCGAATTAACTTCCTTTCTCTCTTTTGGCCTGTATCAGTCACCAAAGAGAGGTCAGCCACGTACGAATGGCAAATTTCAAATAAATATATATATATATATATATATATATATATATATATATATATATATATATATATTATAAATTAATTGATTTAAAATATTTTTTTCGCTACACAGTTCTAACCATATTTCAAAAAATGGAAGCTGAAATTTATAATATTAATGCTCTGTAAATTTACATTGAGCACTATTTTGTAAAAATAAAAATATCTATAAGAACTCCGGATTATATATCTTACTGTTCTTTCTTTTTTACATACATACATTATATATATATATATATATATATATATATATATATATATATATATATATATATATATATATATATATATATATATATATATATATATATATATATATATATATATATATTACTACTATTACTATTATTTGAAATATATTTGGACACACAATTGAATGAAGCAAATTAAAATGCAGATTAAACAGTTGTAGTCTATCTAATTATCTATCTATCTATCTATGTAGCAAAAATGAACTTACAACTGAAAAGCAGTTTCGCATATGCTCACTGAAAATAATTTTAATGATTTTAATTGACAGCGAATTGCCTTACTTTGGTGTGAAGTTTTTCAAAGATTTGTAATTACTCTTTACATGGAGAGTGGCTGAATAATGCCGTATTTTCTTACCAACGTTTGAAGGAAATCTACATATGGCCCTTCGCTCAGATCACAAATCAATCGTTTCGGGGGAGGTATTATACGGGGAAATTTCTTTTCAAAAGAACCACAGTATTCTAATGGACAAGAGAAACTGTATACAGTATGTGAGCGAACGTGCATTCCAAACGCTATAAACGACTTTCAAATATTTTCCTTGAAAACGAACATAGACTGCAGAAATGAATCATAACATAACACACACAGACACACACACACACAACACACACACACACACACACACACACACACACACACACACACATATATATATATATATATATATATATATATATTCACACATATATATAATTTATTTATTTTAGGATATTACATCGAAAGGATGTCAAAATCACTACTCCGTTCAGTCGT